TCGCATTTTATAATCCTATGTGGACGCCCTCAATGGCTTATAGCCTCAACTTTTATATAGTATAGATTTCAGTGTCATTATTTTTATGGTTTCGTATGTATACTATTCATTGAAATTTTCGCATCAATAATATATGGTTTGTTCCAAAAGATTTTCACCTACGTAACGATTAACGTTTCTTGAATACGTCAAAGACAAGACAACTTAACTCGACGAGATAAATCTGTAATATAGGTTTTTATTTTGTTTTTGTCGAACCCTCCTTAAGATTAGGTTAGACGAGGCTAAAGAGCCATATACGTAATATTGTACCTACAAAAGAAGACCAAACTAATCGGTTCTACAACTAAAAGGTTCGAGGAATATGAGAGAGCATTCAAAAAGAATGAAACTTTTTTATGTGTGAGACCTAATTAACTTCATTCGAAATCTTTTTCAAGTGACCACAATCAAACCATAAACCGGGTTGACTAAACCGATAAACATACAAAGTCGTTAAGGACGGTATTGGGTTGGGCCTAACACACTGGCGTACGTCAAACAGAAGCAACTTTCTGTCTCTCTCTCTTGAACTAGTTTGCTAAAAACGGATTAGAAAAGATAATTAAAGATAGATCAAACGAGCTTGACCAACAACGATCACAGCTCATATTCACCATCGGAAATCATTGCTTAGAGACCATCCAATCAAAAAAAGGAATTAGAGACAAAAAAAAAAATTGTTGAGAAAGAGAAAGAGGATTAGGAAACCAAATGATTAGGTAGAAAAATTAAAATATATTGTAACCCAAAAAGAAAAGTTCTTGTCTTTGATCTTTTCTTTTAATCTCCAAAACTGGACCCCTCTTAAGATCTCAATTTGTTTTCTTTTCTTTCCTTGCTAATTTCAACAGAGAAAGAATCGATCTTTTGAGAGGGTGCCAGTTTTTTTTTTTACGTTCTTCTCCAATCTTGTTTCTCTCTTCTCAGGATTTTTCTTAATTCTTTCTTCTTTCCCGGGAAAGTTTTCGTTTTTATTTGATTTTGGAGGGATTGAAAAATTTCCATAAATGTGGGGAGCCGCCGCAGAACCAGCAGATTCTTATTACCAGATTCGCCCTGAGTGCACCGATGTCCCCAATACCAGATTCAAGATCAAAGTTTGTCCCTTTATCTTCAAAATTTTCTTGGGTTTTGTTCAGCATTGGAATCGTTTCTGTTGTTATCTAGTATAAGATTGGCGATTGCAATTTCTCAAGAATTTATGTTTGTGTCGCTCAAAGATCGTTCTTTTGTGCTGCTTAGATTCTTTTGTTCTCCAATACAATGAACATTTAAGCTAATTTTTTTGCTGGAATGATTTCGAATTTGGAAGTTCTTAGTTATCATCAGGTGATTAAGGGTTGGTTAAGCAAATAAAGGCTATGACATGTTTGTGTCTTATGATGCTGATTAATTGATAAAGATTATTGATCTTAGTTTGCAAATTGCTAGTTTTTGGTAAACACTAAATGCTATATGAATGACCTTTGTGCTGTTTTAGGCTCATAGATTCTAGCACTGATCTTGCTTAGTTTCATCACATCACATGGATTCATGCTGATAAAAACCTGTCCTTTTGCTTTGATTATATGTTTGTTGCAGCCAGGCAAAACTCTAAGCGTGAGAAAATGGCACGCTGCGTTTACACAGGAAGGTCTCCTCGATATTGGCAAGACTCTAAGTCGAATCCAACGAGGAGTAAGTCTCTCAAAACATTGTTTGCAAAGACTCCAACATTTAACTTAACTCTGTTCTGAATATGCAAAAAAAATCACTTCTTTAGATTTCTCAATCATTCCAAATCCGTTTGGTTCCTTTCTTGATTTGTTTAGGGGATCCATCCATCGATTAGAGGAGAAGTTTGGGAATTCTTACTTGGTTGTTATGATCCAAAGAGCACATTCGAAGAAAGAGAGCAAATCCGACAACGTAGAAGGTGATCATTTTGAATCTTTCCACTCATATAAACAGTGAATTTAGTTTCATCAAGATCCTGTTTTGTCTTGCATTTCTCTTTTGCTGCTTATATCTCTGCTTATATCTTTGTATTTCCCTTTTTCAGATTGCAGTATGCTTCATGGAAGCAAGAATGTAAACAAATGTTTCCGGTCATCGGAAGTGGTGGATTCATCACCGCACCTGTGATTACAGAAAAGGGTCAACCCATTTTGGATCCTCTTGTACTTCAAGAAACTAATTTAGGTAAAACAAAGTGTGTATCTTTGTGCTTGAGGAACTATTTCAGTTTTTACTGAAGAATTTTGTGTAGATTATTAAGCATCTTTTAAGTATAATCTCAGGTGAAAATTCTGATTTCTTCAAAGAGCTTGCAAGCAGAGGTCCTCTGGACAAGAAAGTTATTCAGTGGATGTTAACACTTCACCAGATAGGTCTGTGATCATACTGCTTCAGTTTCACATTTCTGAGAGGAGGAAATTCAATTGTACTGATGCGTAAGCTCTGATTTTTCAGGTCTTGATGTAAATCGTACGGATAGGACTTTGGTGTTCTATGAGAAAAAGGAGAACTTGTCTAAGCTTTGGGATATTCTAGCTCTTTACGCTTGGATAGACGACGATGTCGGTTATTGCCAAGGTAAAGCCGTTAAAACACAGAGAGCAAACACATTGTAATCCTTTGTTCAAGTCGTTTGATTCTGTCTACTGTTTGTTCTGAGTAGGAATGAGTGATCTTTGTTCCCCTATGATTATGCTTCTTGAAGACGAAGCTGATGCTTTCTGGTGTTTTGAAAGATTGATGCGCAGATTGGTACTTTACTTACCTCTATGCTTTGTGTTCATGTCTTGAGTCTCTCTGTGATCAGATTATACTAAAAGGTTCTTCTTTTTTTCTTTCTGAAATTAAAAGAGAGGAAATTTCCGTAGCACAGGAAAATCAGTTGGAGTTGAAGAACAGCTTACTCATTTGGCTACAATCACTCAGATTATTGACCCTAAACTTCACACTCACTTAGGTATCTATTAAACCTTTCTCACCTCACTTCACCTTTTTAGCTGGTTGAGAGAGAGCAAGATCTTGAAAGAAAGTTTGGATCTTGAAATATGCAGAGAAACTAGGTGGAGGTGACTATCTCTTTGCGATTCGGATGATAATGGTTCAATTCAGAAGAGAGTTCTCTTTTTGTGACTCCTTGTACCTTTGGGAGGTAATAAAGATTTTTCTTCGTCGTTTTTATAAACATTTCTTCTTGGGCTAGACACTAAGGAAAGACCTGATGTTTCGTTTTCTAGATGATGTGGGCGTTAGAGTATGATCCGGAAATGTATTCTCTGTACGAGGAGCCTCAATTCGAGGGACAGAGAACGGAAGGTTCCTCGAAAGGCAAGCCGAAGTCGATAAACCAATGCGGCAAGTATGAAAGAGAGAACATGAAGAACGGTGGGAAAAGCGCAGAAGGTCCCTTGCCTATTTCGGTTTTCTTAGTGGCTAGTGTTTTGAAAGACAAGAGTTCTAAGCTTATGACTGAAGCTCGAGGACTCGATGATGTTGTTAAGGTAATGCCAGAGAGAGAGATCCTCATCTGTTTAATCTCTTTCACAATGGATATAAACTCTTTTACTGATTTGTGTGTTTTGCTTCAGATCTTAAACGATATAACCGGAAACTTGGATGCTAAAAAGGCTTGTACTGGTGCAATGAAACTCCACAAGAAGTATCTAAAAAAGGTTTGCTTTTTGAAATCTTTAGCTTCTCTATTAGATTGAGGCTTCTGAGAATCTCTTTTGGGTTTGTTGTATGATGATCCTTCTGTAGCTGTCTTTTAAAGTCTTCTCTGATTGTTCTGTTTTTGTGATTGCAGGCCAAGAAATAGCGCTGGAGAAGAGATTCATGAGTAGTGTTTGACAAATTTGATAACTCAGAAAATCCGGCGACAAAAAGTGACTTGACTGGTCAGAGATTTTACGATTCCTTGGGTGACAAGTATCTCTGAGAGAAAAAAAACCATGGAGCCCTAACTTACACAGCAACTTTTCGTTGTAAAAAGTGTTCATACAATTCCACGATGTAATATTTGATTTAACAAACCATGCGTTTTTTTGTATTACTAAACAAAACAAAAAGGAAAAAGGTCACACACAGATTATCTTCCTCCTGGATTTTAAACTCGATTGTTTGTATATTTATCAATCGGATTATGTAAATAAAGCTGATATATTTGAATTCCGAATCAGAAATGAGAATCTATTCATTAAGTATAAAAGATTACAATTTTTTTGTTGCCAGTAAATGGTTCAGATTTCAGAAATATTTGACCCATTTAAAAGGCCTAGTCACATTTATTCCGAAAAAACAAAAAAATAATCATTTTCATTTCTTCAAGAATCTGCTAGTGAATGTTTACCACAAAACATTGTTTGTCTTTTCCGATCTATAATAGTTTTTTTTTCTGATGAAACATGTTTTTCCTTCTTACAAAGATTAGATGCGAACTTGTTTTAAACTGATATGAAACAGAACACATGCAGACGAGTAAAGCAGGACCAAGCTAGCAAAACCAACCAAGGATCAGAGAAAAACACAAATTACGAATCAACAGAATTTAGGCAAATTTTTTCATTGAGATGAAACAAAGAACACAGACACCAGAGAGTTCAAAGCATAATAAATAGTCACTTAAAACACCTAAACTCCTCCTTTATTGCACTCCTTCCAACATCAGAAAGGATCAAGGGAAATTGTTCTTACTTCAAAGCTAAATACACAGTCTTCAAGCATCTACGGTTTCAGCTGAATCCGCCGCGGCTAAGACCATCTCCGGGCTTAGGTTTCCGACAGCGGTTCCGTCCAAAGAGTTTGGCAGTCCCAATGCCTTCAAAGCAAGCTGTCCTGCCTTCTGTCCGGATATCATCATAGCTCCAAAAGTTGGTCCCTACATCACCAAAATCATTCACTCAGTACATAATCTTAAAGAACTTATGAATATTTGGATCATAAAAGTGTAAAAAACTCACCATTCTTGGTGCGCCATCGATCTCCGCAACCTCCATACCGGTCACAATCATACCGGGAACAACCTCTCTGGTCAACCTCACGATCGCGTCCTCAGCAGTGTTCATGTCGAGAGCTTTCATCCCAGGAACATGGTCGATCAACCCGATGCTCTTCAACCTCTTCACACCGGTGGCTCCGAATGGACCGTCGTGGCCACACGAGCTCACGACGATCTTGGCCTCCATGACGTTGGGGTCCATGCAAGACTGTGTGTCGTGGTTCATCGACACGAGAGCCCAGTTAGTCACCACACCACCGACTCTGTTTCCTTTCACGATCAGATCCTCGGCCGCCACGGCGTTGAAGAGCTTCACGTTGGGACGAGCCAAGAGCTTGCTCATGATGGTCGATGTGAAGAGCGCAGCGTGCTTGACCACCACGTAGGTGTCTTGCTCATCGTAGGCCACACCGATCTCGTCTAGGAACAAGTGTGCTGGTTTACGCACAATCTGTCAAACACAAACACACAAAACAGTTTCAAATCTAGTACTCATGATCCACCAACAACAACACAACTTCATCGAAATTAATTAAATCAAGCCCTATTCTGTGATTCAGTCTAAACCTAATTTACGGATCTCACATGCAAATCAATCTAAACCGATATAAGTAGCTAGAGAGAGAGAAATTTCGGCTAAGACGTTACCATGGCAGAGAAAAGCTGGCCACCGAGCCAAGCGCCACCTCCGGGACTGACGGATTGTTCGATGATAGCCACCTGAACGTTAGGGTTCTTGCTGATCTCGTACGCGCAAGATAAACCAGCGGATCCGGCACCAACGACGACTACATCAGTCTCAGCGTAGGTGATCATGTCGGTCATGTACCTCCTGGTCATCTCGCGAGACACGATCGACTCCTTGATGGGATCGAAGGTGAAAGCGTTGAGGTCGTAACCAGCGGTGGCGCGAACGGAGAGGGAAGAAGAAGCAGATCTTGGTTTGAGACCAACAGAGACAGGTGCGGAGATGGAAGAGCCATGGAAGGAGGAGGAGTCGAAAAGCCTTTGAGACTTGGTGGAAGAGAGGGAGAGAGTAGAAGTGATGGCCGCCATTTGAGAGTGTTTTTTTTAGGTTTCACTGAGGATGATGATGGTGAAGTGAAACTGTGGTGGTTGGTTGAGTATTTAAATTACGATAGAAGCAGAGAAAATAAAATATCTGAGAGTGATGGACACGTCAGAGATAAGGAACGAAGGGTCGTCGAATTTTGTTTTAAAAAAATAAAAATATTTGCTGTCTTTATTGTGATTATTTGGTTTTGCCATCAATGGAAACATTGGAAATTGTGGAAAGTAACCGATCTCTTTCCTTCACGGTTCTAATTGAGTGAAAAAGTGATTTTCTCATTGACTAATTTTATAAGAAACTTACTTGATTTGATACCAATCACAAAACAAATATCCTTTGCTTATCAGAAAAGAAAAAATATTTGTAATGATATTTACCTAATTTAATAAGAATTTCATTTTGAAGAAAAAAAAATTCAAATGCAGTTTATGGTAATATAAATCTCGAAACTTTTGTCTGGAAGTATCTGTAACCATTTGCAGTGAGTGTGTGGTGACACGAACACACAAGAAAGTGGAATATCTTTGTACGATAGAGTTAGTTTTGGACTTTACTAGTGAAAAAGACAGTTCATTATTATGGTGTCCAAATAAATTAAACAATTATTTCTAATATTAATATATATTTTTGTATTTATATTTATATATTATGAGAGGCATGTTCTTTTTGGTCATAGAATCTTTTTTTTTTCTTGTAGAGCAAAATAAAATCTGTAGTTCAGTAGCTAATAATGCATTTCAATAACTTCAGGTTATTGGTTATATAATTTAAAAATCAAGAATCCATGTAGAAAAATAATAAATACAATAATATACTTTCTGATATAAAAAATAATAATAACAAGTGAATGAAATTATTTTAACATCCAATGGATTAAAAAAGGGGAATTTAAAAAGGTTTCACAGTATATAACTGTTCTCTCCACCGTTGCATATAATTCCTGAAGTAAAAAAATAAAGTAATTAGAGACATATATACAGTAGTAGTGTAGTACCAAAAAAAAAACTCAACAATGAAAAATCAAAACGGAAGTATTTTCTCAAAATTAACTAATTTTGTTTATAATGAAATAATGGTACAAATATCTTTATATTTCATTCTCTTCTTAATGGAGATTGACTGTTTTAAAAAAATATATTTTACTTTCTGGATTTTGTGTTTTGAAAAATTTCATATTCCCAAACAAAACAATTTCAACTAATTTTCAGGTAGGTTGATGTTCCCAAAAATTGTGCTAAACTGACTCCTTTTGCATACCATCATCTCTTATTCACTTCCACAACACCACTCAGCAGCTAAAATAATTATAAGCTTTGGCCGAATACTAGCTTAAAGGATTACCTTTCAAAGGATTTTGAACAAGTGTCTATGTGACTGTCCAAATGATCTCGTCAGGCTGCATTAGTCCTCATGCAAGTTAAAAAAACAAATCAGACACTTCAAATACAATTATTGAAAAATTATAAAGTTATTAAAAAATACAGAAAAATTAAACATTTCTTCAAACGCACAGCAAAATAGAGAATGTTATAATGACATATCGTATCACATCTCCCATGATTCTAGTGACAAGATACGATATATCAATCACACTTGAATGTAAAGTGATTCTCCGTGTATTGTTTTAGGAATGTGCATATGTCCTTATCGCTATATATACTCTTGTATTGACCTTTGTGAAGATTATCAGAAAATATTTTCTCCATTGTCGATCTAAACTTTACTTTATGGTATCAGAGCACGAAAAATAAAAACCGATTGTTTTCTTTGATCTCTTCTCTTCTTCTTCGATTTCTTCTCTATTTTTCTGAAACGAATCACTTTCACGATGTCTGAAACAAACAACGGTGTTGTGAATGGTGCTACGGTGAACACGAACACGGTGGAAACAAGGCGAACGATTTCGCCGTACGACCTCACTGCCGCCGACAATCCAGGCGCTGTGATATCTCATCCCTTACTCAAGGGATCGAACTATGACGAATGGGCTTGCGGGATGAAAACAGCTCTCTGTTCTCGTAAGAAGTTTGGATTCCTCGATGGATCCATTCCTCGACCAGCCGAAGGGTCAACTGACTTGGAGGATTGGTGGACGATTCAAGCTTTGCTTGTCTCGTGGATCAAGATGACGATAGACTGTCACTTCGTTCGAACATCTCCCATAGAGATGTGGCCAAAGACTTGTGGGACAACTTGAAGAAACGCTTCTCGGTTACTAATGGTCCAAGAATTCAACAACTCAAGGCGGAGTTGGCATGTTGCAAGCAACGTGGTCTTGCCATTGAAGCATACTTTGGCAAGTTGAATCGGATTTGGGATAGCATGGCTCAATACAGACCATTACGTGTTTGTAAGTGTGGCAAATGTGAATGTGATCTTGCTACAGCTCAAGAGCAGGATCGTGAAGCTGAAAAAGTCCATGAGTTTCTCTTTGGACTAGATGATAACTATCGCACTGTGCGATCAACTCTGGTTTCTCGGACTCCTCTTCAGCCTTTGGAGGAGGTTTACAACATTGTGCGCCAGGAGGAGGATCTTAAAACCACAGTTCGCCACAGTGAAGAGATGCCAGAAGTGACGGCTCATGCAGTTCAGGCGAGACCACGCATGACTGTTGCTCGCAGTGATACTCCTGACAACTCTGTGCTTTGCAAGCATTGTCACAGATCCGGTCACTCTTCTGATTCATGTTTTGCAGTGATTGGGTATCCGGAGTGGTGGGGAGAGAGACCACGTAGCAGAATCACACAAGGACGAGGAAGAGGAGGAATTGTTGGAGCTGCACCAGTTGGACGTGGGCGTAACGTCAATTACGCTAATGCCGTCCAGGTCCCTGCTCCTCCAACTAACGAAATTGTGAATTACACAATCACAGATCGCGATCGTGATGGTGTGAGCGGACTTAATGATGCACAATGGCGTGCGTTGATGAATCTATTGAATGGTGGGGCAAACACAAGCTCAGAAAAACTCTCGGGTAAGTCCACAATCCCTTCTTGGATAATGGATACCGGAGCCTCTCACCATATCACGGGGAATTTTTCTTTGTTAACGGATGTGAGGAATATGGATCCTGTTCTAATCATATTGGCTGATGGTAGAGAAAGAATTTCAATAGTACAAGGGACGGTTCTTTTGGGTTCACATCTGATATTGAAATCGGTATTCTTTGTCGAGGGATTTCACACGGATTTGATATCTGTAGGACAGTTAATGGATGAGAATAACTGTGTTGTTCAACTCGCTGATCAATTCCTTGTCGTCCAGGACCGCATTTCGAGGATGGTGATTGGAGCGGGTAAACGGGAATCTGGAACCTTCAGCTTCCGCAGAGCAGAGTTGAGTGCTTCGGTGAGGACTTGCGATGACAAAAGCTATGAGTTGTGGCATCATAGGTTGGGTCATCCGTCTGCTCAAGTTGTTGGTTCACTTCCTCATGTTTCTGTTTCTGTTTCTGATGTTTCCAATAAGGCGTGTGATGTGTGTTTCCGTGCCAAGCAAACTCGTTCTTCTTTTCCGACTAGTATCAATAAGACTACTGAAGCTTTTCAATTGATTCATTCTGATTTGTGGGGTCCTTATCGGACAACATCAAACTGTGGAGCACGATATTTTCTTACGATCGTTGATGATTTCTCTCGCTGTGTCTGGATTTATCTCCTCTCTGACAAAACAGAGGCACCAATACAATTGAGAAATTTCTTCTCGATGGTTGAAAGACAATTCAACAGAAAAGTGCAAACTTTTCGGAGTGATAATGGGACTGAGTTCACAAGTCTCACAAATTACTTTCTCCAACATGGTATTCTCCATAAGACTTCTTGCGTGGGAACTCCACAGCAAAACGGAAGAGCAGAACGCAAGCATCGCCATATTCTCAACGTTGCCCGAGCTTTGCGTTTTCAATCAAATTTACCGATTGAATTCTGGGGAGAGTGCATTCTCACCGCAGGATACTTGATGAACAGAACACCGAGTGCAGTGCTTCAAGGGAAAACACCATTTGAGATGCTGTATCAAAAAGTTCCAGATTATACACATCTACGGGTTTTTGGGAGTTTATGTTACTCTCATAATCAAGCACACAAAGGAGATAAATTTGCCTCGAGAAGTCGCAAATGTGTGTTTATAGGCTATCCATACGGGAAAAAGGGGTGGCGTTTGTTTGATTTGGAGAAACAAGAGTTCTTTGTCTCTCGGGATGTCGTCTTCTTCGAAAATCAATTTCCCTTTTCCGATGAACCACAGAACATCACGACAACAATCAGTAATGAGGAAGGAGTTCTTTGGGCTCCAATTAGTACAGGCCCGTTTGTAGAAGAAGAAAACAGGCCCAACAACTCATTGTCTCCATTGGTCAGCCCAATAGAAACTCCAATCGAAGAAAACATTATGTCGACTCCGTCGTCTCCTTCTCCAACTCCTCTTCATGATAACTCTGCACAGTTGTCGCCTGATTCACCTCCGGCAACCGATTCCTCACCATCTCCATCTCCGACATTAACTTCTGATCCGCCGTCTCCATCTCCCGTTCCTCCTCCTCCAGCGGAATTACTTGGTCGTGGACAAAGACGGAAAACTCAATCTGTCACATTGCGAAATTATGTGACTAACAATGCTCAGACCCAACTTCTCGACAAATCAGGTGCTAAAACTCTTTACCCAATCGCGAATTACGTCTCTTCTGGTAGGTTTTCGGTTTCCCATCGTGCTTACCTTGCTGCAATTGTTGAGAATGTTGAACCGAGATCTTTTAAGTTGGCTTTTTCGAATATACGATGGAGGCACGCGATGCGTGTCGAGGTAGACGCGCTGGAAGAAAACCAAACTTGGACCCTAGAGGAGTTACCACCTGGAAAACGAGCCATTGGAAGCAAATGGGTCTATAAAATCAAGTACAATTCTGATGGTACTATCAATGCTACAAAGCCCGATTAGTGGCGTTGGGTAATCGACAAATCGCAGGAGAGGATTATTGTGAAACATTTGCACCGGTTGCAAAGATGGGTACTGTGAGATTGTTTCTAAAGGTTGCGGCTGGAAACAATTGGCCAGTTTATCAGATGGATGTTCACAACGCTTTCTTGCACGGTGATCTCCAAGAGGAGGTCTACATGAAGCCACCTCCTGGTTTCTTTCCAGAGGGAGACACTAGAGTCTGTCGTCTGCGTAAATCGATATATGGGCTCAAGCAAGCTTCTAGGTGCTGGTTTGCAAAGCTCACCACTTCACTTCGAGAATACGGGTTTCAGCAAACTCATGCTGACTACTCACTGTTCACGTTTGACAGAAACGGAATCAAGATCAGAATGCTCATTTATGTTGATGACATGATTTTGACGGGAAACAATGAAAAGGCGTTGCAGGATTTTAAAACCTATCTCTCCTCTTGTTTCAAGATGAAGGATCTTGGACATTTGAAATACTTTCTGGGCATTGAGGTTGCAAGGAATACATCAGGATTCTACTTGAGCCAACGCAAATACGCTTTGGACATCATTGCTGAAACAGGGCTCCTTGCTGCCAAACCAGCGCCATTTCCATTAGAGGAGAATCACAACTTGGCTCTCTCGACTTCCCTCCTCCTTTCCGATCCAGCACCGTATCGTCGCTTAGTGGGACGTTTCATCTATTTGGCTGCTACACAACCTGACCTTGCTTTCTGTGTTCATATTTTGACACAATTTATGCAAGCGCCTCGTGAAGATCATTGGCACGCTGCATTACGCGTTGTCCGCTATATCAAAGGTACTCCTGGTCAAGGAATCTTATTGAGTGCTGACCATGATTTCCAAATCAATGGTTGGTGCGACTCTGGCTATTCAAGTTGTCCAATCACTCGTCGTTCAGTCACAGGTTATTTCGTTCAACTCGGAGAGTCTCCCATTTCATGGAAAACGAAGAAACAATCCACAGTCAGCAAATCTTCAGCGGAGGCTGAATATAGGGCCATGGCATATCTCAGAGATGAGTTACTTTGGATTAAAAACGTTCTCCAATCTCTTGGTGTCTCACATGCTCAACCCATGCGCATTCATTGTGATAGCAAGGCTGCGATTCACATAAGTTCCAACCCGGTGTTTCACGAGCGTACGAAGCACATCGAAAATGACTGTCATGCCGTTCGTGATGAGATTCAGAGTGGCAACATGTCGACTCATCATGTTCCATCTGCACATCAACTGGCGGATATCTTTACCAAACCACTTGGTCGACGTGCGTATGAGTCATTTCGGGGCAAGTTGGGCATCCTCGACCTGCATGCTCCAACTTGAGAGGGGGTAATGACATATCGTATCACATCTCTCATGATTCTAGTGACAAGATACGATATATCAATCACACTTGAATGTAAAGTGATTCTCCGTGTATTGTTTTAGGAATATGCATATGTCCTTATCGCTATATATACTCTTGTATTGACCTTTGTGAAGATTATCAGAAAATATTTTCTCCATTGTCGATCTAAACTTTACTTTATGTTACCTCATTAACATGAATGAAAGTCCGCTAGATAGTAGAGGCACATTAAGCACAGAAAAGGTTTTACAATATATACTCACTACACAATCAGATCCAAAAATCATCAAAATGTCTGATTGCTGAGAAATGACCATTCACATAAGAAAATAGATGCTTCAACGTAAGTGATATATTGTGTTCGCGTAAGTAATATATTGTGTTCGAGTTCATGGAGTGTTAAAGTTTTGATCATATTGTTTTAATTTTTACTGTTTGTGTTAGAATTTTGCTACGATCGTGTGTTAATTTGTTCTTTTGTGTTTGGATTTGCGTTTTGGAACTGTGTTTTGATCATAGTGTGCGTTTGGATTGAGCGTGTATTAATCTCCCCTGAAATTTTTATCATAGTGTTTGTGTTAGATTTTTGTTGTGTTTGAGCGTGTTTTTATTTTGTGTATGAATTTTCGTTTGGAAGTGTGTTTGTGTTCTGTTTTTTTTGTTTGAGCGTTTTGGGATAGTGCATGCAAACATGTAGAAAATGCATGCAAACAAGCCCAACCAAGAAAGAGAGACATACTTCACCTTAACCCTTGTTCTTGGTTAGCGAATTGTCTCCAGAACTTTCATCTTTTGCAGCATCAAGATCCTTTCTAAAGCAAAGAAACCTTATCAGTAAAGTCAGTACACAAGAGAGAAAACAAAGAGCGGAGAATATACAAAAGACTATAAGACAAAGAAAAACAATTTAATACCTTAAGAGGGTCGTTTGGCTCATTTTATCTCATTATCACTACATTCTCCGATATATTTTGCATTATCCGCGTGACCACCCTCTACAAGAATTTTACAAAGAAAGTTATACTACTAATACTTATACTCATGCATGTAAGCTCGTGATGACATCGAAGACGTACCTGGGCCAAAGAACTGAATCAATGTGGAAAGCCAAAATAAAGTCTACACTAAAGAGACAGAACAAGGTCACGTTTGTGGTAACTAGCTCAGATACTTCACCTTAAGCTTGGTATGTTCTTGGCTAGTGAGGGAATAGTCTCCTTTTTGCTTTTTGTAGCTTAAGGATCCTTTCTCTTGAATCAAATAAGTTAACGAATCAGCTACAAACAGAGGACAAACGTAGAACCTTTATCAGCAAGTCAGTAAACCTAGAGCGAATAAAACATAGAATATTTATAGATTAAATGATCTTACAGTTTTTGGCTAACCTGACCGTTTTGCACAAGTGTTGTTTTAGCTCTGAAATAGAGCATAGGCAAACGATATGTAGAAATACAGAATACGCAAACAAGTAATGTCTTGTGACTAAATAATAATATACCATCATCTCCTATTCAATTCCACAAGACTACCTCAGCAACCAAATACTTATTGTAAGCTCTGGCCAAAAACTTTGAACAAGTCTCTTTATAAATGTTCCTGCAGTAATCCTCCTGCAAGTTATAAAAACAAATTAGACACTTAATTTATTGAAAATACAGACAGTCAAATCTTTTTGATCAGCATGCTTTATGTTCTCCTGCAGGTTACAAATAAATGAAACACCTCGACATAAAGTTATTAAAAAAATACAGAGAAATTTCTTAAAATTCACAGCAAAATAGAGAATGTTACCTGATCATTTACATAAAATTCCCGCTAGATAGTAGATGCACATTAAGCACACTTTTTTTTTGCAATATATACTGTTTGTGTTAGAATTTTATTGTGACTGAGCGTGTGTTGAGTTTTTTGTTTTGTTTTGTGTTTGTATATGCTTTTGGGAGTGTATTTGTGCTCTGTTTTTCGTTTTTTGTTTGAATTTTGTTTGAGCGTGTTTTGAGTTTTTTTGTTTTGTTTTGTGTTTGAATTTGTTTGAGCGTGTTTTGCGTTTCATATCTATCATAGTGCAGGCTTAACCTGCTGAACATGTAAGAAATGCATGCGAAAACAAGCAAGAAAGAAAAAGAGCGGAAGAAAGAGAGACATACTTCACATTTAACCCTTACTCTTGGTCAGCGAAGGGTCTCCGGACTTTGATTTGTTTGCAGCTTCAAGATCCTTTCTCTTAAGGACAAAAAGCAGTCAAGTCAGTACACAACAGAGAGAGTAAACAAAGAGTGGATAAACAAGTTTTAGTATTATCAAGTCTTGGAATTTTCATGTTTCCAAGCAACTACTAGCTTCTATACTCTTACCTTTCAATGAATTTCGAACAAATCAACAACATAAAGTTACCTTTAAAAAATGTTGGACTCTCTGAAGAACATATGTGTCTACGTTAGGGAATCAGCAACCAACAGAGGACAAACATAAAACCTTTGAGTAAGTCAGTAAAAATATAGAGCGAATCAAATACAGAATAATGAGCTAAACAAACGAATCTTACAGTTTCGCTAACCTGACCCTTTTGCATAAGTGTAGTCTAGCTCTGTGATGGAGAGAATAGACAAACATTGATTACAAAATCATGTAATATCTTGTGGACACTAACTTCATATACGATCATCTCCTATTCACTTCTACAACACAACTCAGCAACCAAAATACTTGTAAGCTTTGGCCGAATACTAGCTTATAAGGCTTACCTTTCAAAGGATTTTGAAAAAGTCTCTATGTGATTGTTTCTGCATTAGCCCTCCTGCAACTTGAAAAACAAATTAGACACTTGACATACAATTATCGAAAATGCAGACATCTTTTTGATCTTTTCTGCTGCAATATGTCAACCAACAGGCTTACTTAGTCATGCATGTAAGCTCGTGATGACATTGAAGACGAACCTGAGCCAAAATAATGAAAGCCAAAATAATGTCTGCACTAAAGAGACAGATATGCAGAACAAGGTCACGTTTGTGGTAAATAGCTGAGATACTTCACCTTAAACCTTTGTATGTTCTTGGCTAGTGAATGAATAGTCTCCTTTTTGATCTTTGTAGCTTAAGGATCCTTTCTCTTAAATCAAATAAGTTAGCGAATCAGCAACAAACAGAGGACAAACATAGGACCTTTATCAGTAAGTCAGTAAACATAGAGCTAATAAAACACATAATATTTATAGACTGCAATTATTTTACAGTTTGGTTAACCTGACCGTTTTGCATTGAAATAGAGAATACGCAAACATTTAGAAAATTATAAGAAACGTGAGCAGGTATAACATACTTCACCTTTAGCCCTTACTCTTGGTCAGCGAATGGTCTCCGGAACTTTGATTTGTTTGCAGCTTCAAGTCATTTCTCTTGAAGTCAAAGAAGTTATCAGACTAAAGTCAGTACACAACAAAGAGTAAACCAAGATCGGATAAAATACAAACAAACGATACTATTAAAGCAGCACTAACATAGGAAAAGCATTCTCTAATGAAATTCCAGACAGAATTTTGATACCTGGTCGGAGAGACTACATGGACATCTTAAAATGAAAACTATAACTGAGACCCGTGAATACTTAAAACAATATGATAACGATGTTTTAAAAAGTCACCTTGATGCTAATTGATGAACAACGATTAACATAATTACCTTATCATTCCTGAGCCTATTGAAACGTATCTGAAACTTGTGCTCTTTTTTACGCAAACCTGCTTTAGACTGAATCAATGTTGAAAGCCAAAATAATGTCTACACTAAAAGAAAGATATGCAGAACAAGGTCACGTTTGTGGTAAAGAGCTCAGATACTTCACTTTAAACTTTTTGCTCATTGCAGCTTAAGGATCATTTCTCTTGAAACCAAATAAGTCAGCGAATCAACAACAAACAGAGGACAAACATCAACCTTTATCAGTAAGTCAGTAAACATAGAGTATATTATAGAGTAAAACGCAGAATATATTATAAAGTATAAACTAAACAAAGAAAGACTACAGATGCTTCAAAGTACGTGATAATGTGTTGTTCATGGAATGTGGAATTTTGATCATAATGTTTGTGTTAGAGTTTTGTTGTGTTTGAGCGTGTTTTTTTGATTTGTGTATGAATTAGTGTGTTTGTGTTGTGATTTTTCGTTTTTGTTTGAGCGTGTTTTGCGTTTCTTTTATCTTAGAGGTTTTTGGGATAATGCAGGCTCAAAACCTGCTAAACATATAAAAGATGCATGCAAAGACAGAGAGAAGAAGACCGGTATGTTCAGTTTAAAGAAAGAGAGAAATACTTCACCTTGTATGGTCTCCGTAACTTTGATTTGTTTTCAGCTTCAAGATCCTTTCTCTTGAAGACACAAAGCAGTCAAGTCAGTACACAACAGAGAGAGAGTGGATAAACAAGTTTTAGTATGATCAAGTCTTAATTTTTTTCATGTTTCTAAGCATATACAAGCTTCTAGACTCTTACCTTTCAACCAATTTCGAACAAATCATGGAACATCAGCACGTTTTATGTCCTCCTGCAAGTTACAAAAATTAAAAAAAAAAGCACACCAATCTTACTAACTTATGTGTATTCAGTACTCATCATGATCAAAACAGCTTTCAAAAGTGTAATAGCAGAAACGATTTATGAAAATTAAGCCAAGGATATGAATCAATACTGAATGCCAGAGAGAGACCATTGCTTACACTAAACATATACACACATATACCATTCAAAAAAACATACCAAGAACAGAGGAAAAGCAGAGAAATTGGTACAAAAAGATAGATGTCAGAGAGATAAAAGACAAGGAAAGAAGAATTGACAACAATGGACCAACACAATTATATAGTTACATCGGCTTTGGCTCATGATGATACATTACGACAAGATATCATCACATAGAGTTCTAAATCGCCAAGATTTTTTCTTAATCCAAAGAAAAAACAATTGACCAATTTAAAACAAATGCAACCAATTATCTTCGGAGAAAACCTAAAATCGCTAAAACCAGAGAAATTTCTAATTTCCTTGAAGACTTGCAATCAACAGGATGATCCATGACGAAGATCTTCATAAGGAATTGGGGTTCGTACCTTCTTCATTTCATGGGTAATCAAAAGGGGTTTCCGATATCGTCTGAAGAAATGGCCCCAGATTCTTCCACACGATCCTGTTTCACTGTAACCGGAGAAACCATGACGACGAATTATAATCTCCGTGAAAGTTTTTAAGGACTAAGGAATTGGGTTTCGTACCTTCTTCATTTCCTGGGTAATCAAAAGGAATTCGCGATTTCGTTTGAAGAAAAACGGCCCCAGATTCTTCCACACGATCATGTTTATGACGACGGACTGTTTTCCGAAACCGAAACCGGAAGCAATTAAGCAACGAACTCAGATTCACCACCGTGATTCGTCCTCATCGCCGTATTTTCAACCGGAGAATTTTCGCAGAAATGAGTCGGTGAATGCTTCTACTTATAGTTGTGACGCGGCTTACGTCGAAATGACTAAAATGCCCTAGTCTGTGCCGTTAGAAGGACGCCATTGGGTTTGATTTGATTTTGAATTGGAACGAGTTTTTTTTTATTCCGTTACAACTTACAAACTATAGAGAGATTCAAATTATAATCTTCTAAGGTTAATCACACGGGATGATCAGATTTTGGTTCAACTAGTAACAGGTTTGGTTTACTGTGATTATTTAAGCGGGTGCCGGGTTTGCCGATTCGGTCCCGGTTTTAAAACACTGGATTTTTCTTGTAAATCTATCCGTTAAATGATGCTGCCTTTGATCTCTCCAATGGACCAATCATCGATGAGGTTAGTTCCCTGCTAATTAACCACTTACATTGACCACCAAGTCAATACTATAAATTAACCTCAAATTATGCAAACTTGTTCATAGTTTCACGAGATACTTATCTTAGTATTGAGTTCATGTGAGTATCAATAACAAAAACAAAGTGGCATAATTTCCACAAATGCAAAGTAAAAATGAAAATGTAAAAGCCGAAAATAAAAGTATTAACTTTTGCAACAAAATGTAAGATTTCCCAAGTAACTTTTGAGAAACTAGGTATTGAGATAAAGACTAAATTAGTTAGATAATGACTACATTAATATTTGTTTTTTTTTGGTGAGTATGACTACATTAATATAGATAAACATGACTTTAGCTTATTCTAGTTCTATTATGAATATCTCTCTATCTAGATAAGGATCTCTCTCTTGTATAAATACTTCTCTTCTACAATGTTAATACGAAGATTTCCATTCATTAGTTATTTGATTAGTGACAATTGACAATTACGTACGACAAAGAAGTCCAAAACGTATATATATGTGCATGAATCATCCATCATTACAACAATGGCTCTTTCTCTTCGAATCATCATTACAAGTTTTCTCTTCATTACCGCCACTGCCTCATCACCTCCCGGCGGCTTCACCGTCGGATTATTCCACCGTCGCTCTAACTCCTCTTCTTCTCCACTATCTAGGACCAGTGATGATGATGGATCATCTCCGTACGCCGATACCGTCTTTGCTACCAGCGCGTATCTAATGAAGCTACAAATCGGTACACCTCCTGTTGAGATAGAAGCCATCTTAGACACAGGAAGCGACCTCATATGGACACAATGCTTACCCTGTGTTAACTGTGACGACCACCAACAAGCTCCCACCGTCTTCGACCCTTCGAAATCCTCAAGCTACAAAGCCAAAATATGCGACGACGGCCCTTGTCCGTACACGATTACCTACGCAGACCAAACCTATTCCGTGGGAACGTTAGCGACCGAGACGGTCACGGTAAAGTCCACTTCAGGCCAACCTTTTGTGATGCCTGAAACCTCCATTGGTTGTGGCCACAACAACACAGCGCAAGGGCTTATATCCAACAGTTCAGGCATTGTGGGTCTAGGTTTGGGATCTTCATCACTCATCTCTCAGATGGGAGAAATATTCTTAGGTCTTTTCTCTTACTGCTTATCCGGTCAGGGAACTAGTAAGATCAACTTTGGAGGGAATGCTATTGTGTCAGGAGATGGGACAGTAGCAGCCGACATGTTTCGAAAGCCGGACAATCCTGGTTTCTATTACCTAAACCTAGACGCGGTCAGCGTCGGAGATAACCGCGTGGAGACGTTGGGGACACCGTTTCACGCCTCAGATGGGAACATAATCATAGACTCTGGAACCACTTTAACCTACTTTCCCGAGAGCTACTGCAAAAAAGTGAAGCAGGCAGTGGAAAACGTTATGCCAGAGGATCGAGTAGATTTCATGGGGGACATGCTTTGCTACCACTCGGACAATATAGAGATGTATCCGTCGATCACACTGCATTTCTCTGGCGGTGCGGATCTTGTCTTGGAGAAGTACAATACGTATATGAGTCAGGGAGGAGTGTATTGTCTAGCGATTATGTGTGCTGATCCGATACAAGACCCTATATTTGGTAACAGAGCACAGAATAATCTTTTGGTGGGTTATGATCCTTCTTCACTGCTCATTTCTTTCAAGGCCACCGATTGTTCATCACTGTGGAGTTGAAATAGATAACAAACCTAGAGGAGGAAAGTCTTTTTCTACACGTTATCGTTTTTAGCTTCATTTTTATCTATTAGTCTTTTTTATGAAGGCTTAGAATATGGTTTTGTTTATTTTTATTTTACTTAAAGCACTAGGTATTGAACTTCCTGTTATATATATCAAATAAAAGGTTATGAACTTAAGTTAAACCCACCCAAAGATAAAAATAAGTTACAAACTTAAGTTGCCATGTCGTCACTATCAGAGAAGGTAATCTTATTACCGGAGAAGATTGTCTCCTCTTCCTTCAGAGTCGGTATGGTTTTTGAATCAGGTTTGGTCTTTAAATCAAGTGTTTCTCGTCGAAGGTTGTCTTCGTACCAAAGCTTCTCTGCAAGCTTGTACAAGTTGTACTTGGGTCGGAAAGGGTATGATCGAGCTATCTCAGCCATGTGAACTGAAATACTAGCACCGTTCTTCTTTTGCACCGCCTTTTTGGCTTGGTTAGCAGAAGCAAACTCAACAAAGACACAGCCCACAAGATAACCCAACTCATCAGCAACAAGCCTTACACGAACAACTTCTCCAACACATCTGAACAAAGAGATTCTTTCTTCAGAAAGCGACTGGCAACAAAGACCGTCTTTTCTCTTACCGCAACTTCCTCGGGAGTTTCTTCTACCGGAAGGCTTTCTCCTCCAAGGTAGTCTTGGTACCAAACGTAGTGATCTATGCAATGCTTGGTTCGTAGAGGGTATGGAGCTGTTCCAGCAACAGTTAGAAAAATCTCGCGACGGTGCAAGCATCCACCGTTCTTCTCTTCCAGCGCCTTCTTTGCTTCGTTTGAAGAAGCAAACTCAACAAGCCACATCCCACAGGCCTGGTCTGGTGGCCTACAACAAGTCGAACGTGAACAACTTGTCCAACATCTTTGAAAAAGTCAATGATATCTGATATTTGAGTTTTGGAAGAGAGATTGTTAACAAAGAGCGTCTTCTTTTCTCTTACGCCACCTTCCTCAACAGTTTTATCAAGTCCTTTCATCAACACAATCTTGTGATCGTGCAAATATGCACCATTCTTATATCTCAGCGCCCTCTTTGCACTTTTAGCACAAGGAAACTGAACAAAGCCATGGCCCAGATGCTTACCCTCGCGGCTCACAATAAGTCGAACACTAACAACTTCTCCAAAAAAGTTGATGATATCAATTATTTTACTTGTTTGGGGAGAGAGATTGGCAACAAAGAGCGTGTTTTCTGGTATGGCCACATCCTCAACACAATCCGGAGGTGTCTCATCGTCTTCTTCGAACCAAGCCTTGTGATCTATGCAAAGCTTTGGTGGAATGTATTTAGCTCCCGTGTTAGCCACGGCAACAGAAATCTGGCGACCGTGCAAATATTCACGGTCTTTCTCTTCCAACGCCTTCTTTGCTTCGTTGGCAGAAGTAAACTCAACAAAGCCACAGCCCCTCTGCTTGAGCTTGCGGGTTACGATAAACCGAACACGAACAACTTGTCCAACATCTTTGAAGAAGTCGATCATGTCTGGTATTTGAGTTTCGTAAGAAGAGAGATTGTCAACAAAGACCGTCATTTCTCTCACGCCAGATCTGTCAACAAAATCGGGAGCTTCATCAGACTCTGTCTCCGACAACTCGACCATTCCTCTGAACTGCTCTTTCCTTGTCTCCTTCTCCTCGGATACTTCCTTATGTTTCTTCAGAATCAGCTCGGTCTCCAAGTTATCTTCCGGCTTTCGCTTACCCAATAAATTAGCTTTGGAACTGGCCATGGAGAAGAATGGAAACACCGGCGGTTTATTTTCCGGGAAGAGCTGAAAGCAGTAACAAGTTATGACTAAGAGAGACCCTAGAGGAAGTAAAAGGGTTAAGGAAAGCTCTATGAAAAAAGTAAAAGAAACAAAAATCCAATTATCATAATTTAGGCAATGTTCCCAAAAATTGAGGCATAATTTACAAATTTTTAGAAAAGAGATCCATGCAAATCAACCTCTACATATAACTATTCATTATTTCTCGAAATCCTTGTAGCTCAAGATGTATTTTCCATCGACCTCAGTTCTCGTTACTCGATTTCTCTCTTCTCGTATGCTTCTTCTTCGTTCCGGTGCTGCCCGGAACAGTTTATTTCCAACCGGAGTTACCCGTCTTTCGACACTTCATGCTTCTTGGAGACGTCATTGCTCTCACTCTGTGTGCCTTGACTCGCAAGAAAACACGCCTCGTTCTGCTATTGAAACGGCTCTTGACTCGGTGGTGAAGATCTTCACCGTCTCTAGCACGCCAAACGTTTCTCAACCTTGGCAGAGGGATGAAGAAGAAGAATCCACTGGCTCTGGTATACATCCAAAAATAATATATTATCTCTCCTCTGTGTTTAAATTATACTTCTTATTACAAAAAGTATAGCCATACGCCCATACCTCAAAAATTGTTTGTTAGAAGGATGTTGACTTATATGACTTCCATACAAGGATGTTTGACTTATATGAATATCTTATGCTGTGGAATCTGATTAGGGTTTGCAATCTCCAAGAAGAATATTCTTACCAACGCTCATGTTGTGGAAAAATACTCGTACGTGGAAGTGAGAAAGCATGGTTCATCGATCAGGTACAAGGCAAAAGTTGAAGCGATTGGGCATGAGTGTGATCTGGCCACATTAGTTGTTGAGAACAAAGAGTTTTGGGAGGATATGGATCCGTTGGAGCTCGGAGACGACGTACCCTTCGTCAACGAAGAAGTCTCCGTTCTTGGTTATCCTAGGGGTACGTACGTACGCCTTGAACTATATTGTAATTTTGCTTTAAAATTTTGTATGAGAGTATCAATGAGTTATATGTTTTGCGTTGAATGCAGGTGGTGACACCATCTCCGTTACAAAGGGTATTGTATCGAGGGTTGAGTCTAGAAATTATACACACAGCTCCACCAAGCTATTGACTATACAAATAGATGCAGCTATTAACAAGGGAAATAGTGGTGGTCCGGTACTTATAGGAAACAAAGTTTCTGGTGTAGCATTTCAAGGTCTTTCATGGTCTGAAAATATAGGGTGAGAGTTTAAACTATAATAAATCTTGAATACTTTTTTCTTTCTTATATTTTCCTCGATTCGATCCAAACTAAAACAGGTTGAGAAAATTAAGCTTGTATTCTACGTAATAATCTGAGTATAGAAAAAACGTTGAACTAACATTATATATTATTCGCGTGCAGCTACATAATCCCAATTCCAATAGTGAGACATTTCTTAACTTGTTTTGAAGAAAGAGGTGAATTCATTGGATTTGGTGCGCTGGATATATCGTGCCAACCTATGGGGGCTGCTAAACTACGTAAACTCTTCAAAATGAAGGATAAAATGACAGGAATCTTAATAAATAAAATAAACCCCGTGTCAGATGCTCATAAGACTCTGAAAAAAGACGATGTCATTCTTGCTTTTGATGGTGTTCCTATAGGAAACGATGCCATGGGTACGTACGTACTAGTGTATATGTAGTTTTATATAATTTTTAAGCTTAAATAACAATTGGTGAACCTTTGTTGATGAATGTATACTTTGCTTTCGTGCAGTTCCATTTCGGAAAAAGGAACGGATATCTTATAAGCATTTGGTTTCTATGAAGAAACCAGGCGAAACAGCTTTAGTTCAAGTCTTGAGAGATGGGAAAAAGCATGAGTTCAGTATCAGTTTAAACCCCGTAAGTAATATTTTCTGTGACTTCTTTGTCAAGTAACCATTGAATTAATTCTTGCTTTCTTCATTAACATTTCAACAATACGCATGCAGGTGCAACCGCTGGTTCCGATGCGCCAACTTGATGATCCAAGTTATTACATACTTGCGGGTTTTGTCTTTGTGCCTCTCTCTCAGACATACATTGACACTACTTATGACATATGTGAATGTGAAATTGAGAAAAGGAATTTTCCTAAAGAAACTGGTGAACAAATTGTCATAATTTCTCAGGTTTGTGCTTTATATTCCTTAGTAGAGTGTCTTCTTAGTTATTTTGGCATCAAGGGTTAATTAAATATTTTGTTTTGCTTCTCTGTGTGTGTGTGTGTACAGGTGTTACTGAATGACATCAACAGAACATACTCTCATTTCAAAAACATGCAGGTAAGTCCTCCCTTGCTTATTCTCAAGTAGTAGAGGTTGTACCAAGTTTATCTACGTCTTGAGGAAACATAATAACGTCAATTTTGAAACAGGTGAAGAAAGTGAATGGGGTTGACGTGGTGAATTTGAAACACCTACGTGACCTCGTGGAGAAATGTTCCACCCAAATTTTGAGGTTGGACTTAGAAGATGAACGAGTTATTGCCTTGGACTTTAAAGCTGCCAAAAAAGCCACTTCGTCGATCTTGGTACGTCGTGGAATACGGTCTGCAATGTCAAAGGACCTTCAGAGTTCAGATCCATTAGTTACTTAAATATCGCCAATGATGTTGAGTTTTAGTTGTTTTGAGTCTTTTTTTTTTTCTACAAAATATAAAATAAGTTATTATCCATTTCAATCCAATACTTGTATGCTTCCCCGTCCACTATTTTTGGTATCTATGGAATTGAGCGTGGTCCAAAAAAGTAACAAGAAATCAAATTTAAGCTTTCAAACAAAGAATATAATGTGTCCATGCTCCACAGAAAAATGCAGTGTATATTAAGGTTTGTTGTATGAATTCACAATTTCACACTCGGAAACAAAACAGAGTGAAATCGAGCATGCATGGTGGTGTTGCAGAGACTCTCGTGTCGATCATTGAAACACCCAATCCAATTAATAACTATACTTTGCATGTTATCCCCCAAGTGTGCATAGACCACCTCAAGCTTATTACACGTAAACGCCATGTAACACTCCTTGCTCTTCCATAAATAGACCCATCACTTTCACTTTCACTTCACAACTACCACTCGCCACAAAAAAACCTCAACAAACAATGGCGGCTAAGCTCATCCTCCTTTTCGCTTCCCTTGCCCTCTTCGTCCTCTTAGCCAACGCTTCCACCTACCGCACGGTCGTGGAGTTCGAGGAAGAAGATGGAGTCATCAGCAGAAGCAACTCACTTAAGTGCCAGCTTCAGTATTATGAGCAGGAGGAACTAAAAGGTTGCCAGCTATGGATCAGTAAACGAGCTCAGCAAGGAAGAATCGGATACGAAGCTGATGACTTCGAGCTCACTCTTCACGAGAACGACGAGAGCCGAAGGCCGCAGGAACACCACCCAGCTCTCAAAATGTGCTGTGACGAGCTACGGAACTTGGACAAGATGTGTGTGTGTCACACTCTGAAAGCTGCGGCTCTACAGGTTAAAGAAGAGGGCATGCATCAGCCACGACAGGTGAAACACATGTTTAGCACTGCTAGGAACTTGCCTGACGTCTGCGACGTCCCTGAAGTTGAGTCCTGCAAGTTCGATGCTACTCCTTGGTAAAAAAAGATCATCAAGGAGGACAAGTAAGCGTCTGGTGGTTTTTGTGTTTGCGTTTGCGTTTGCGTCGAATGTGAGTTAAAGAGTCTTAGTCCTTAATAAAAGAGAAGAGTGTTCTATGGTGCTCAAAAATCTTTAGCATCACACACACTCTCTTGACTCTCATTTTTGTGTTGTAAGATATTAGCATCAGATCAAACAAGAAGCCAATGCAATTAGAACAAGTTCGACGATTGATATGGGACTTGAGCAGAGAAGCAAATGCACTAATACAAGATGCTGTAAGTAAAATTGATAGACTTCAAGCTCAACAAAGATAATCATGAAGTTAGAGAGAAGCCAGACCAACACTAAGCAGTCATCAAAACAGAAACACCATTGAAGAGAAAGCTACACAGAATGAACAAGAATCCTCTATTTCAGAAACAACTACAGGGGAATTGAGATATCAACGATCTATAGAACACAGATGATTAGGTTATTCAGTTCACAAAATTTCGACAATTGACGGGTAGTGAAACGAAGCATACATGTACATCAATCAAAGTGCTACTCTTATGAAATGGATCGCTAAACGAGCTCAAATCGAAATTGTATACCTAAATACTTCTCGCATTCAGTCCTTGATTCCAGTTTTTCCCAGTGATTTCCCTGAAAACCAAACAATCACTAGAAAGGGAAGAGAGAAAACCAATTTTCACTTTGTAATAACTTACCACGCGTTTCGATTTCGGGGAAGATTTCATATTCAGATCAAGGATCAGCCGAAAATTTCATCTTTTGAAGTCTGAACAGGAATAACATTTCCTCACTCAGCTCGAGTTTCTCTGCCGGAAACTTTTCTCCGGGAACAATGTGAAGGAAGGAGAAAGGTACTTAGTGGGCCTAATATGGGCCTAAACTTTTACTCCAATATTCACCTGAAAGCGCGTCGTTTTGTGATCGCGTCAATTTCTGAGTTAGTGACCGGTTTAACTAAACCAGTCAAATCTAAAATGAATCGAGTTGAACTAAATTAGCTTATTTTATCAACCAATATACTTGCGCAAATCTAAGACTATCGCACGTCACAGAACAAAAAATAAGACTCGCGCACGTCGTGCTAATTTCGGTGCTTTTGATTGGTTAGAGTTTAAGGTTTAGGAATATTTCAAATTTTCGAGTAAAGCTAATTCGGTTCAAACTCGGTTCGACATAATCAATTAAGTAATTTAGAAGAACTTAGTGAGGGAGATGGTTCAAAAGAAAATCAATAACCTATCGAGTTTCAATAAACATTTAGGTTCGTTTGGTTTAAGTATTGGTATAGCCAACAAAACCGAACATTTCACAATTTTGTTTATTTTTATTTTAAAAAATAGGGAAAGAGACGTGGAAGGTGAGTCTCTTCTTCTCTGTAGTAAATACAAAGACGATACGTAAAAGAGAGATCTTAATCCTTTTTGGTTCCCATTTATACATATAAAAAAAAAAATCATTTACGAAGTTTGAAACAGCTTTCGTCTATTAGGTCTTCGCTCTCTCTTATCCTAAAAATCTTTCCCCTTTCTTGCTCCTAAACGTTTCCATAGTCGTAATCAGATTCCTGCTTCGGGACACGCTATATTCTTTCTTTTCTGGGTTTCAATCGCGTAATCCAATTTCAAATTCTTTCCCAATTTAACCTCCTGATTCCAGCAACAACAAGACACACAATTTGTTGCTTCATTTCCTTCGTTCTTTTTAGGTATATAAATTCATCTTCTTTAGCGATTCAGCTTAAGTATTTGCAGTTTGATCGCTAATTCTTTCTTCTGGGTTTTGTAAATATTCAATTTTTTTTCTTTGATCAAAGCTTTGATTGTGTTCTCGGTGTTCTCTTGCTTTGGGACAACTTGAACAAGAAGCAAATTTCCGAGCTTGCGTGTGTTTTGATTCTCTTCTTAGATTCCAATTTCGTTTATAAAAATCAAAACTTTCAGCGAATTTGTTCAATTTCGGTACTTTTCTTGGGGATTTTGAAAATCGGAATTATCCGCTCCCTCTTTCTCGGAGATTCCATCGTGAAGTCTTTTTCTTGGGAAACCAAAAATCTCAGGCGTGTTTATAGAGAACAATCTGTTTTGCTTGGAGGCTAACGATAGTGAAAAGAGTCACTATCATGAGGAAAGACGGCGACGGTTCTCCGAAGCCGACGACTTCCGACGGAGTTGTTTCGCGATCAGCTCGGAGCTCGTTCCGTGCTCTCTCTAACTGCATTAAGGTCATTTCCTCTGGTGCTTCCACGGTCGCTCGCACCGCCGTATCCGCCGCTTCTTCCGTCGCTACCCGAGACATCGACTCTCTTCACGATCAGGTACGAAATTGTTCCAATTCGGAACAAAATTGTATGTGCTCGATGAAAAGATCACAAATTTCGAAAATTTATCTGCGTTATTGATTAAAGTTAAGAGCTTTGTTATAATGTGTGAAGATTCTTGCCGGTTCTTGGGGAAAAAACTTGATTATGTTTCTCTTTAGGTGACATTGAATCTTTTGGTTAATACCGTAAAAGATTGATCTTTAGAAGTTTTGGATGTTTTTGATGGCAAAAGGTACTATGGGCGGGGTTTGATAAGCTAGAGAAAGACGATGGCGATACTCGAAAAGTGCTTCTACTAGCATTCAAGTCTGGATTTCAAGTTTGGGATGTGGAGGACACAGAGAACGTCCATGTTATAGTCTCTGCACATGAAGGACAAGCGTCTTTCATGCAAATGCTGCCGAATCCGATAAGCTCGGGAGTGTTAGGTGACCAGTTCTCTGAGAGCCGTCCGCTTCTGGCTGTGTGTGGTGACAGTTCTTGGGAAGAGAATCCGAATAGGCAGCCACAGAGCACTGCTTCTGATAATAATCCCGGAAGTGAAACAGTACTAGTTCCTACGAATGTGCATGTTTACTCGCTAAAGTCTCAGTCTTATGTGCGTGAGATCAAATTCCGGTCTATCGTCTATACGGTTAGGAGCAGCTCTCGGATTGTTGCTGTGCTACAACCAGCTCAGGTTAGAAATCTTGCCATATGCTGTGTCAAAGTTTTGTTTTTGTGACTGAAACTTAACAATGTGTGTATTTGCAGATACATTGCTTTGACGCTACAACGTTGGAAAAAGAGTACATGATTGTCACTAACCCCATCGCTTGGGGCTCTTTGGGTGTTGGAGTTGGTCCTCTTGCAGTTGGTCCAAGATGGATTGCTTACAGTGGAAGCCGTATTGCTAAATCAAGCTCTGCTGTTTTCACTCCGGAGCTTATCTCACCGTCAGCATCACCCTCTGTTGCACAGTTTGCAATGGATTCAAGCAGGCAGCTCGCTTCGGGGATCGTGACTCTTGGAGACAGAGGGTACAATGCTTTGACTAAGTACTGCTCGGAGGTTCTGCCTAATCCGTATGTTCCTGGATTGAAAGTCATTGGAGCTGGTAATGAGAATGTGCCAAACGCTGATAGCATAGGAATGGTATAAACTCCAAAAAACCTTCCTCAAGTTTTGTTGAAAAACGTTTTCCTGTGATGTGTGGTTTTAAATGGTTATGTGGTTTGTGTGGTGCAGGTTATAATCAATGATGTGATAAGCAAAAGCCTGGTAACACAGTTTAAGGCACACAAGAGTCCGATTACAGCTTTGTGCTTTGATCCAAGCGGCATGGTTTTGGTGACTGCTTCGATTCAAGGATCAAACATCAACGTCTTTAGAATAGTGCCAAAACACTATACGAGTAGTGGTGACGCTGCTAGCACAAGGTCCTTTGTGCATATGTTCAGGCTTCAGCGCGGTTTTACTAATGCGGTGATACAGGACATCAGTTTCAGCAACGATAGCAGTTTGGTAGTGGTGAGCTCTTCAAGAGGGACGAGTCATCTGTTTGAGATGAATCCTGAGGGAGAAGGGAATGCTCAGACTCCGACTCCTGTGACGGCGATTAGTAGGATAAGAAGCGGAAACAGCAGCGGATGGATTGGAACAGTGAGCGGTGCTGCAGCTGCAGCGGCTGGAATGGTTGGAGGCTCTCTTCCTGGTGCAATCACATCAACTTTCTGTTACATTGATGAACAGAGTAACAACAACAAGCAGTATGGTTTGACAACAATCGCCACTACTGATAACAACTCTAAGAGGAATCTTTTGGTGTTTGCTCCTTCTGGATGTATGACACAGTATGCGTTAAAGGCGAATCCGGCTGGTGCTGGGGCTGGTCATGAGACTGCAGCTATGACGGTGTTTGATTTTGAGACGGGTTTGGAGACTGAAGGGAAAGTAAAGGTTGAGCCAATACGGAGGTGGTCCATTATCCAAAACCAGACTAGGAGAGAGATGCAAGATCAACCGAGTGACATATATGGAGGTGGAGCATCTCCGGATTCTAAAAGCAAAGTGTTTCCGGAGGTGGTTAGGAAACAGACTGTTGAGGAAGCTTGGAGAGTGACTACTAAGAAAGGAAAGGCTCGTGGGGAGGATAACCGTAAACTGTATGTTTCTGAAGCGGAAGTGCAAATGTATCAGCCGTCTCAGCCACCGTTATGGGCAAGGCAAAACGTAAACTCTCCTCTCTCTTCTTTTGTTTTGATCTGAAAACGTAATGTGTTGTTGTGGAGATCTCTCTCTTATGCTTGGTAGTTTGTACAAAACAATTTAGGTTTCAAGAACTGGTGTTGAATCGGATGATGCGAATAATGGTGGACGAGGAGAGATGGAGCTTGAAGGAATCCAAACTAAAACGATTGAAGTAAGAACAAGAAATTTGGTACCAGCCTATGGTTATCTCCGATCTCCTAATTCCCAACAAGTGACAAGATAGGGTAAGCTTTCTGGATCTGATTAGATTAGACTCCAAACACTTTGTTTTTTGTTTGTCTTTGTATCTCTGTCACAGTTTCTTGACGCTTAATATCATGCCACAGATCCTTTCCGAGTCCAAGTAGCAGTTACAAGGTGACCAAATGGCTCCTCTGGAGGGTCATGGAACAGAGACTGGGCATGGAGGTTGTACATAAGAAAGAAGAGAGCCAGGGATCAGGGGGTCGTGGAACAGAGACTGATCTCGGGGTTGTACATAAGAAAGAAGAAGAGTCCGAAAGCAAGCCTGTAAATAATGAAGAAGGAATGCAGAGGAGAAGGATGATGATAGTGAAGATGTGGATAAAGAGGATTCGGATTAGAAGAAGGTGATGTTGTTTTTGGTTTATTTTCACCACAAAACTCAAGCGTAACACAGCAGAAGAAGAATGGAAAATTGTATAGAAAAAAAGAAAAAGAAAAACGATTGACATATATCTTTTAGATGTAAATAGCATATACGTTTCTTTTGTTACGGATCATTATTGACCCTTTGATTCATGAAGTACATCTTTTAGGATGTAAACATAATAGAAAGTTTTAACACTTTTTACTGCAAATAAGTTTGAAATAGAAAAATGAGTTCTCTCTGTTGTTTACAAAATACAAAACACGAAAGACTCTAAAATGAGCAGATAATAGAAATAAACAAGAAAGAAAAAAGAGTCACAATTGATATTGGAGATGACATTTTTTTTTGGTAAAAATTGGAGATGACATTATTCCTGAAAAAAAAACTAATTTTAAATGTCTTCGTTCATATACTTAAAAAAAACAGAGCTCTAGTACATCATATCATAAAACTTAGACGACATGACAATTGAATCAAGCTATGATCATATGACATTTTCCTTGAACTTCCGTTACAACGGACACGGCAATACACACGGAAGAGCTTACACCAATCAGATTACTGCAAAAAATCTATGTCATATACAGCTTCGTATTTAGCTGAGGTACATGCATGACGCATGGAGTGTAATTATAAATAATGGATTTGCTATAAAAACTATTACTTGTACGTTCGTACTAATTGCGGTAAATAATCAACGCGTCAAAAATAAAATTAGACAATTCAGTTATTGATGTTGATCATCTATAAACTAATCTATTACTTAGCGAAAAGCTACAAGTTTGTTTTGTTTTAAGTTTTAACTAGTAGACTTTCGAAACTGACGTGGCTTTTGGTTGAACACTTCTACGACGACTTAGAGGATTGCTTGACCTGAGAGGCTAAGAGTAATATTTAAAGGAACCCTTAGAGATGGAATGTAACGAACTAATCACAGGAACAAAAACCACTTAAGCCATACGTGCAAATACAAATTTATCTTTCCAGCAAGATCAAAATTTCCTCAATCTCAATCCATTGGGAACCAAATATGGCTACATCAATCTTCCATGCCATCCTAAAAAATGACGAGGCCGCTTTCGATATCTTGGTCCAAGAACAGCCATCTGTGTTGGAGAAAAGAGACAAGAAGAATCATGGAGAATCGGTGTTGCACCTAGTCACGAGGGCAGGGCACAAGGAATTCGCCAAGAAGATAATCGCGATCTGCCCTTCCCTAGTATATTCCAAAGACGATAATGGTGACACTCCTCTCCATGTGGCTGCTACCAATGGACGCAAAATAATTTTGGTGCAGATGTTAGAGTTTGGACTGAAGTCAGTGACGCCTGGACCAGATAGTGACTCGGAGGATGAAATAGCAAAGGAACCCCCAAAGGATGGCCTTAAACTTGCAGAGGTGAAGAACAACAAGGGCTTGACCCCTATTCATTTTGCGGCAATCAGTGGTATTGTCAAAATCTTGAAAGTGTTTTGCCGGAAGACTCCCTCATCTTTCAACATACTCACAATACCAAAGAACCAAACAGTCTTCCATCTTGCTGTGATAAACCAAAATATCGAAGCCTTCGAGTTCATGGCAAAGAAAGTCGAACTAGTGAACCTCCTCCATCAGCTGGATAGCGATGGCAACACAGTTCTTCACACTGCCGCCTCTGTCGGCAATACTACTGTGAGTTTTTCTCCAATTATTCATTTAACTTTGTGTGTTTCTGTTGATCGTTTCATAGTTTAGATGTGAACTTTTAGTTTATTTTGAGTTTAAACTCAGGGTTAGAGATTGTGATTAGATAATTTTTGTTTCCAAACTCACAATCTTAATTTAAATAATTAGTTCTGTTTATTTAGTTTTACAGAAGAAAAATAAATTGATAAACAGGAGTTGGATTTATCTTATCCAAAAAATGACTTCCTCACTTACGGCTTTATGTTTAAATAATTAAAATTCTCATTTTATAATGTTTTTAACACAAATAAATATAAAATTTAATTTGTTTATTATGCCCTTGTAATTATTAATCAACTTTATGGGGAAATGTCTTCAACTGAGTATTAGAAATGATTTTGAGTGATTTGTATCCAAATGAAGAATATTATATTATTTCAAATATATATTTTAAAAGTAGTTTAAAATCCATTGTAATCAAAAACTTGTGATTTCAAAATATATTTTAAAATCTAGTGTTACTGAAAATATTTGTGGATTTTAATGTGATTTCTAGTGATTTTTAGCTGCTATTAACATCCTTATTATTTCTAAACTCAATGATATATATATATATATATATATATATATATATATATATATATATATATATATATATATATATGACAGAACTAGTATTACATGATGATGAAGTGATTCTGAACATGGCGTTGGTTCACAACCTCATGCTAATCCAAAAAAATAAAAAGTACTTATATTGAATTTATTTAAAATGGGCAAGCATAAATGTCAGACGGTCGATTCTAGATTTAGGGTGTATGCATTTTCGTGACCGAGAATCAGTTTTCGTATGCTGCGATCGTGGGACAATTAATATATTCCCAAGGACAAGATATATAGCTGCCTTAAGCTCATTTTTTATAATGAAGTTTGTTTATTTCATTAATGGATTCCTTTTGAACTTAATGATACAGCTAATGAAGTACATTATCAATAATACAAAAGTAGATGCCAAGGCCAAGAACGCGGATGGTTACACAGCGGCTCAACTTCTTAACAAAGATAATGCAAACTTCCCGAAACTATCTACCTTATTAACCTCTGGTAAAAAGACTCGCAAAGAGGAGGCACTGCAAACTGCGAGGAATACAATGATTGTTGTCGCCATCTTTATTGCAACGCTTGCTTACGCAGCCGGGATAAACCCTCCAGGTGGTGTCTATCAAGATGGAGACTCCAAAGGGACTGCGATCGCGGGGAAAACATTAGCATATAAGCTCTTCTCAGTAAGCAGTAGCATCGCCTTGTATACATCAATAGGTGTTGTCATTCTTCTCGTGAGTCTTATTTCTTTCGAGATGAAACCACTCAAGAAGTTGTTGGTTGTTACATATACGATGATGTCAGTCGCTATGGTTGCCATGTCAGCTTCCTTTGTCTCTGCGGGATGGGTCATTGTACCTCATTTTGATCGAACCACTTGGTTACTCTATACCACTATTGGTATTGCTGCCGTCATGGTAGGAGGTGCATATGTTTATCTATGTTCAAAGCTTGCCATAATCATCTTCAGGAAGATATATCCGGAAAGAACACCTGATGAGGAGGCTGCACCAAGAAATGCTATGGCCAGTACGCATGTCGTAGATATCTCTAATATTAACTAATGTATACAAATGTTGCTTTCCTAGTTGCTTTCAAGTTTGCTTTCTAATTTATGTTTGGTTTTTAAATAAGGTTTGTAATGCGTGATATGAAGGCCTGCGTGACCTATATAGCTTTCAAGTTTGATATATATATGAAAAGAGTCGTGAGAAGAGTTTTCTCCACAAAACCCTAGTGTTTGGTATGCAAATATTCAATCAACGAATTCTAAACAAACTAATCGTTTCAGGTGCTGAGACAGATCCAGAAATATAGTATTTTTGTAGCTTCCGAGGTCCACAACGAGATACATGTAGAGTTTTGAAGTTTCATGGAACCGATCAAGAACATCTTGAAACCGAACTCAATAGATCTGATGTATTAATATTTTTTCTTGTTGTAATATGTTCATCAGTCTTATATTCTTATATTGTTATGCTTTGTTCTCCGTTTTGCTTCAAACACTTTGCTTCGAACCTTTTTGCACCATGAAACATTATTTGGACCGTTTAAGTTTAAAGACATTTACAAAAGCCGGCCTAGGTATTCAAGAAGCTTAGACTTAAGCCAATATTAAGATTTAAAAAGAAAAGGAAATAGGATTCTATTATTATTCATGACTCTATTTTGTTTTTTTGAATTTTTTTCGTAAGCCGCTAACTCGACGACCACCTGAAGATTCATGCAAGATATAAATAATTTGGTTATAGTATTTCGACCTAGGCCCAAAAAGTTTCCATAACTAGCAAAATTGAAACGCCCAAAATGCAAATATTCCAAGGAAAAGGCAAAATTCTGACTTAAAAACTACCAAAAAGACTTCTTGTTTGGGTGGGATGAGATGGAATAACTTAAGAAACAATAAGGGTCGCTAATGAAATTAGAGAATAAATTAGACCTCAAAAAGTAAATTCTGAAGTTCAAGCTCCAATGTCTTTGTTGAAAGACTTTAATTAGAGGTAAAGCTATGTCTTGTAACCACCAAACAGCTCCTTTTCATCTACACTCTCGATATTTTTAACATCTGTGTGTTGCCTTGCCTTGACTCGTTTCTCTCTCTCTCCCCAACTTCCCTCCTTCAACATAAAGCCAAATTTTTATATCAAAGAAATCCCCTTACCTAACCGGCCTATACCGTAATGTACCAAATAGAACCCGGTTAATGGATGACCGAACAACAATATGATTATAAATATGAGATTGCGGTTTAGTAATCACAATAATCCTGAGGTTCTTGATTCGAATTCTGAGTAAACCGGAAAAAACAAAGGTTCTCATACAAATACAAACAAAACCATGACATTAAACCGGAACCGTAGTCTTTCTACGTCTAAGTTTCTAACAAACACACCTTTCTTTTTCAGCACATGAAAACATCAGATACGATCTGCCATTAATAACCTAAACACAAAGCAAGGTTAGGTAAATGAAATAGACCCTTTTGAATAATCATACAATACATAACAACGTAAGGACCCATTTTCCCTCTTCGGACATACCCATCTTCCTTTCAGACAAAACCACATTCAGATTCAGAAAAGAGCAAAACAGAGACATAACACACAGAAACAGAGAGATGCAGTTGCATATATCTCCGAGCTTGAGACATGTGACTGTGGTCACTGGGAAAGGATTAAGAGAGTTCATCAAAGTGAAGGTGGGTTCAAGAAGATTCACGTACCAAATGATGTTTTATTCTCTTCTCTTCTTCACTTTTCTTCTCCGGTTTGTCTTTGTTCTCTCCACCGTTGATACTATCGACGGTGATCCCTCTCCTTGCTCCTCTCTCGGTAAGTTGTTCTTGTCCGTCCCTTCATTTATTGTTTTTTCCCTTAATCCGGAAATTAATTAAATGAAATGAACTACTACTTATTTCATTTTTAAGAAAAACTCTATATTCTTTTTCTCTGAGAAATATTTTTTTTCATTCCCTCACATTTTCTTACAAAATTAATATGTATAAATGCGACTTAAATTTTATGGAAAACGACATTTATTTTTATTTTTTTTCATTTTGTGCGGTGGATACACGTCGAGTAAGAAATAGATAAAATTAGTTATAGGAAAAGGTAATTATCCTCAAGTTCATGTAAAAGAATAATCTAAACGAAGAACTTGAATAATTTATAGAGATTTATTACCCCCAAAAAGTGAATAATCTCCAAGAACTGGTCTTGTTTGTTTCAGTTTTAGTTTGTAGTGTAATGCTCTGGTTGACTTTAATAAAATATCTATAAACTTTTCACGACAGCTAAAAGAGACACTTAGTTAATCTCATAATTTAAACATGAGACAAATTTTGTGTTTTCTTCTTTTCAATTAACAGCTTGCTTGGGGAAAAGACTGAAGCCAAAGCTATTAGGAAGAAGAGTGGAGTCTGGTGTAAGTTCTCTTAACTTCAGTTTCAGTCTCTTGAACACATTTTACAGTTACTGATGTGGTTAAAAAGGTTTAATTCTCTTTTTGGTTATATTCATCTAGAATGTTCCAGAAGCTATGTACCAAGTTTTGGAACAGCCTTTAAGCGAACAAGAACTCAAAGGAAGATCAGACATACCTCAAACACTTAAAGATTTCATGTCAGAAGTCAAAAGAAGCAAATCAGACGCAAGAGAATTCGCTCAAAAGCTAAAAGAAATGGTGACACTGATGGAACAGAGAACAAGAACCGCTAAGATCCAAGAGTATCTATACCGACACGTCGCATCAAGCAGCATACCGAAACAACTTCACTGCCTAGCTCTTAAACTAGCCAACGAACATTCCATAAACGCAGCCGCACGTCTCCAGCTACCAGAAGCAGAGCTAGTCCCAACTTTAGTCGACAACAACTATTTTCACTATGTCTTGGCTTCAGACAATATTCTTGCAGCTTCCGTAGTGGCCAAGTCATTGGTTCAAAACTCTTTAAGACCTCATAAGGTCGTTCTTCACATCATAACGGATAGAAAAACTTATTTCCCAATGCAAGCTTGGTTCTCGTTGCATCCTCTGTCTCCAGCGATAATTGAGGTCAAGGCTTTGCATCATTTCGACTGGTTATCGAAAGGGAAAGTTCCGGTTTTGGAAGCTATGGAGAAAGATCAGAGAGTGAGGTCACAATTCAGAGGGGGGTCATCGGCTATTGTGGCTAACAACAACGAGAATCCGGTTGTTGTTGCGGCTAAGTTACAAGCTCTTAGCCCTAAATACAACTCTTTGATGAATCACATCCGTATTCATCTACCAGAGGTATATTTAAATCCATGACCATGACAGGTTAAAGAATATTCAGACCATTAAGCTAAAGCTGTCTTTGCTTTTTTCTTTCACGCAGTTGTTTCCGAGCCTAAACAAGGTTGTGTTTCTAGACGATGACATTGTGATACAAACTGATCTTTCACCTCTATGGGACATTGACATGGATGGGAAAGTGAATGGAGCAGTGGAGACATGTAGAGGAGAAGACAAGTTTGTCATGTCAAAGAAGTTCAAGAGTTACCTCAACTTCTCAAACCCAATCATTGCCAAAAACTTCAACCCAGAGGAATGTGCTTGGGCTTACGGGATGAATGTTTTCGACTTAGCAGCTTGGAGGAGGACTAACATAAGCTCCACTTACTATCATTGGCTTGACGAGGTAAATTCAAAATCACTAACTAATCAAGAATCACTATCAAGAAGTAATCACAACTTAACTCATGACCATTATTTTTCATGTTTTTGTGTTGCAGAACTTAAAATCAGACCTGAGTTTGTGGCAGCTAGGAACTTTGCCTCCTGGTTTGATAGCTTTCCACGGTCATGTCCAGACCATAGATCCGTTCTGGCATATGCTTGGTCTCGGATACCAAGAGACAACGAGCTTCTCTGATGCTGAAAGCGCAGCTGTTGTTCATTTCAATGGGAGAGCTAAGCCTTGGCTTGATATAGCATTTCCTCATCTACGTCCTCTCTGGGCTAAGTATCTTGATTCCTCTGACAGGTTCATCACGAGCTGTCACATTAGAGCGTCATGATAACAACCACAAATCAAAAACTCAATTCACACATTGGCTACAACACAGAGAAGAGATTCACAGTTCAAAACATAGGCGCAAACTTTTCTCTCCCGATCATGTTTTGCTGTCTCTTTGAGTCTTCAGTCTCTCCTGTTTCTAAATTTTTTTGTACTTTCAAACTCTTGTGGCGAGGAAGTAAAAACCCATTTTTATGTATTAATGTAAGAAGACATAATGTGAGAGACGATCTGCCAAACTCTACTTAAAAATTTACATGTGAATAGATAACATTGCGCCAAGCAATTGGAGTTTTACAATGTCGTATCATTTGATCAACAGATAACAGTGACACTGATAAAAACGAAAGCAAATAAAAAAGACTAAGAAAGCCGAGAGAGAGAAAAGAGGAGAGCAAAACAAATGTGGAGACTTTTTTCTTTTCAGCGGAAGCGAGAAGCAAACCAGTTGATGAGTTTCCTTTGTCTTGAGGTTTTGTCCCAGTTTAAGCAACTGGTGGACGAAGGACATGATCCTGAGAAGTGTCGACTGAAGCAGGAGGCATGAACTGCCACATGGCAACTCCGGGGTAACTGATGATCGGCACCATCTTGTTTCCGGGAGCTTGGCCTTGCGCAGAAGCAAAAGCAGTTGGCATCATAGGTGGAGCTGGGAAGAAGCTTGGCTGAGGAGTGTTCATGGTCTTCAGCTGCTGCTCCAGCTTCTCTTTCTCTGTCTTCAGCCTCTGTTTCTCATCACGCAGCTCGTTTTTCTCAGTCTGATTGAGATCATAAGCAAACTCGTAAGCGTTCAATGATTTTATCTGGAGAAAGAATGACTACAAACCGAAGAAAAGTTCACCTTTAACTCTTTGATTTTGTCCTGGAGACTTGAATTGGAGTCCTTCAACTTCTGGGCCTCGCCTCGTAGCTGTGTCACCATGCGAACAGCATCGACCAATATAGCAGCCTTATCCGTCTTGGGAGGATTTCCAGGCTCCAAAATTGCACCCAATTCCATAAACCTGTTTATCATTCAAAGAGAAA